GCCACTTTTTAATTTCACGATAGATCCGACTTCTTTAAGCTCAAACCTTTTCTACTTAACTTTGTGATGACATTCATTCGTGCATTTATCGATAAACACAATGCATTTTTAATTAATGGTTACCCCTCAGTCGCCCATTAATGTAACATCGTCAGCCACGGATCAAGTTTTAATGACCAAATATTTGGTAAAGTCTAGTCTTGGAAGCATAAAAACGCAGGACCGGATTCAAAATGCTGAGCTAAGACAAACAAGTGCCCTCGAATCTCTCCGTATCTGGCGGCCCACTCCTCTGATGGAGCAAAAACTCAACTGTCAATTATCCCAAGATCGCCTAGGACGATGAATGACTCATGGCCGAATTTTGTCCACAGCAATATAAATGGGTCTAATGATGTCAATAAATGTAACTTAAAATTGCTTCCCAAAATGTATTGTCATTGTATTCAATATTTATTAATAATTTCCTACACTTACTTAACGTGAATATAACCAATGTAGTTTATAGTTATATAAAATACGACTAACTTCGTCAACAATCAAGCAATACTCGTGACATTGGTGACATGTCGAAATTGCACGCTGTAGCACCACAATTCGACTTCGATTTGTTACCCAGTTCACGATAATTGTGGTTTTGTCGCTGGGCTAAATTATTATTTGATATTACCATAGACTACATTACTTATATCCAGTTTGAGTAAGCTTATAAACAATCGGTAAATCTTGAAGGATATGAGAATACTTTTTGGAAGCAAGGTTACGTGAAATTCAATAGCATCGTGAGACCTACTTATATATTGTAGCGAAAATCCAAACAGCAGTCTTTCATCAGATTATGCAAATTAATGTGGATACAGGCCTTATTTAAGGTCGAATCGTATTTTTGAAACTAACTCGAAATGCAGCTTAAGCCACTTAAAGTATTAAGGATAAATTGGGTTTATATACAATCGACTACACTACTTATATCCAGTTTGAGTAAGCTTATAAACAATCGGTAAATCTTGCAGGATATCTAAATACTTTTTGGAATCGGTGTTAGGTGAAATTCAGTAGCATCGTGAGACCTACTTATAAATTGTGGCAAAAATCGAAACAGCAGTCCTTCGTCAGATTATGCAAATAAAGCTGGATACAGGCCTTATTTAAGGTCGAATCGTATTTTTGAAATTAACTCGAAATTCAGCTTAAGTCACTTAAAGTATTAGAATAAATTGGGTTTCGAAGAATTTCTTCGTGAAATTTCCATTTCGAATAAAAAGTTAGTTAGAAGTAATTATTGGAATGGTCTCACCGCGAACCGAAGGACGATTGCTGCGGAGTGATAACTGCTGGATTGTGTGGACAGGTTGTCGTCCATATTGTCGTGACACATAATGAGAGCAATAATGCATACTTTATGGACTAGAGTAAAAATAAATAATAAAGCAATAGAAGAGGTGGCCGGCTGCAAGCCTAATCACATTTTTATACATCCTACCTCGCTTTGTCTTTATGAAGTACCCCATGAGTTGACTGGCTACTCAAACTTTTCTACATGCGTGCGCATGAATGAAGTTAATTCACGAACCGGAAGTGATATTAGTGACTACGGTTTAGTTACAAAAATAGACTTTTTCCTTAGCTTGAATACTTTTTCTCCATTGCATAAGACATGCATTCTTGTTCTGATGCTGCGGTACAGACGAAAGCATTGCACAGGTTTATCAGAGTCACAGTACGATACAGTCAAGGAATTGTTTACACAATTCAACAGTCCGCAGCAAATCTTCTTTGGTTTTCGATGATACCAGTTCACAAATTGCTTCAGAAGAACTTTTCCTTCGAAATGCAAACTCATGTCACAAATTATTTAACGATCACTGTTAACCTCGAAGCCTACTTATATCGAAAATAGGCAACCTAACCGATTGCACTAGCAAGCAAATGTTTGCCAACTCGGCAATTCCACTGTAGAAATGTGCTTTGCAGTAGGCCTGGCTTGTCTTGATTGTCACATCTGCCCTGAGACACATTAGCAACCGTGGCAATCTAATGGAGAGGTACCGTGTTGACGACACTTACAACCCCCGGCTCGAATCCCGCTAGAGTAAGACGAGGTCGAACCTGCAGCCCAGTTAAGTTAAGTTCGGCCGGAGCGAGATGATATTGTAGGAGGTAGGGTTGAGTGAAAGTCGAGGACATTCTAAGACCTACTCACAAAATTGTATGGTAAAACTCAACTATCAATCTTTACATCACCTTCACATCAGGACTAAGTAAATTTTCAGGTGGAGATTTGTTATAGAACTGGGAATAAACGGCATTCAAAATTACCCAAATACATCAATCATACATTGCGTTTTTCTTCGACTGAATTGCTTCTAGTTGGACCAGAAGCCGGCCTCTGGCATTCTCAACATGCCCTTGAGGCTGCCTCAGTCCTGAGATGAGATCTTTCGCTTGAGATACCGCAGAAACACACTAAAAACGAATACCCAGCAACACGAGGGGAGTAGAAATGATTGGGTTTAGACCCAGCTGAGATCGAATATGTCATCCCCTCTATTTATGAGGATACGTTTCACTTCCAATTCATAATGACTTCATCAGGAATTGATCAAACAAACCGCCAACTCTTGCAGACACCAGCACCCACCGATTCGGCCGCGGTGAAGCGAACATCCAAAATGCCATTACTGCACCGGAGGACTGGCTCCAACCGACGAGGCAGCGTGGCGAGTCCGAATTCAACCGCTTTTTCGGTCGGTCCATAGCTCGACTGAGATGTCGGCGGATAGGGTAGGACGACTGGTGTTCCCGCCGATTTCGATGTACCATCCGACGAGACCCCGTCGACCTGGCTATTCGAGGCGTCGGCTTGGAGACTGGCGGCGCTCGATTGAACGCGATACTCGCAGACGTCTGCAAACATCTGAGACAAGGAAAGGCCGAAAAAATGAGCTCAGAGAGGAGTGCTAGCAAATACGGATATGATATAGTATATACTATAAACTACATAAATGTATAATATTTAACAATACGGTAGTATATATATATATATATATATATAAGTTAACATGAACAAAGTAAAGTATAACAGAAACGACAATATCATAATATAATGTAATATGACCAATATACAAATGATATAAAAGTAATAATGCATTCACATATTTATATATTATTATGGCCATTTGAAGCCTACTTCCGCTTGAAGATCGGATATGTACATTCACAGGCCCACACACACACACACACACGCATATATATATATATATAATGCTCTTCTCTGATGAAGTTAAGTTTCGAAATATTCCGTTATATATATAAAAATATATATAAGTTAACATGAACAAAATATAGTATAAAAGAAATGACAATATCATATTATAATGTAATATGACTAACGTAAAAATGATATAAAAGCAATAATGCATTCAAATATTTATATATTTGTATTATTATGGCAATTTAAGTCAACTTCTGCTTGAAGATTGGATATGCACATTCACACGCACACGCACATACACAAACACACATATATATAATGCTCTTATCTGATGAAGTTAAGTTTCGAAATATTCCGTTATATATATATATATATATATGTA